GGCACATGTCTATACGAAACATTCAGGGCTTGAATGAATTAGGTCAAATCTACATAGTCACTCAAGGATGCCTGCATTTAAAGAAAAGCAATCTAAAAGATCAACACCCCTGTTTCTAAGAAATCAAATGCCTTATTATCAGTCATAACCAATTGATTAGTGAGCTATATTAATATTTATTTGATATATTATAAAACTAGAAAATTAAGAGTTTAAAAGGAAAAGGATCTGTATTGAGAAAAGGTTGAAAGAGTTTAAATAAAACCTGGCTACCAATTAATTTAAGGGGAAAGGGTTGGTTTATAGCAGCTTTCAACTAACTGGATCAAATCCATCAGGAAAGCTCTCTGAAAACAAAAAAAAAAAAAAACCCATAATAGCAGTTACATGAATGCTAAACGTGTGTGAGGATAAAAGGTAAAGCAGGAGAAACATATTATATTTTGATGAAGAAAGATTTCATTTCATCATATATTTAGCAATATGATTCATTCAACCACTATGTGTATACTATCTTTTCAACTTAGTCAAGTAGCCTTCTTTAATTTAAAAATAAAAGATGAGACATCTTCCTGAATCATAAGCCAGGAACTTACACTGTTTCAGGTAATGAGACAATGTGAAGCTGTAAGTCAGAATAATTTAGCTTACATATCATGGGGATACTTTGAAAAAGGCATTTTATATCTCTGTGCCTATGTTTCTACACACTTCAAAACAAACTGACTGATATACACAGTAATAAACTTAAGTACAAAGTTGGGAAAGGTAAATTATACGTGCATGCTAATTTAACTTCTTTCTCCAAATAAAACAAGTACTAATATGCTAATTTAACTTCTTTCTCCAAATAAAACAAGTACTAATACCAGAGTATGTAGAGAAGCTGGAAGATACTGGACAGTTTATTAGTATTCATTTCTGTGTTCAGGAAATATTTACTGAGGATATGAAAAGTACTGTTCTAAATACTGAGGATACTGCAATTAATAAAACAAAGTGCCTAGTATCATGGAGCCTTCATTCTAATTTATTCTCTAGAGAATTTTAAGGTTACCCCCTAGAAGGAATTCAATTTTGAAAAATTTCTCAAATATATTCAAAACTAGTTGAAGTTCGGCTCTGGACTAAATGCTAACCCCCGCCTCCCCATTCTATTTATTCCTGAAAACGTATTTTTGACTAGCTTCTAATTACAAGGGATTGACCAAACTGTATTTAGTATTTCAGTTTCCTCAATCTATTATTAAACTTTATTAGGAAACTAATCATAAAAACTGTTTATAGTTCATTTAAAGGAAAAATGGAAATGTATGAGAAATATAGCATTTCTCATAGGTCTTCTGTAGTCTGCCTAATGCAATTAAGATAATTCTAATCCTAGGTGGCCAAGTAGTAGATAACAGAAAAATTTTCCTACTTAGTACATAAAAGAATCTTGGTACTTCTCACACAGAACACTTTTTAACTCTTTTTAAACTTCTTGAGGACTCAAATGTTTATAACAGAACTAAAAGACATTAGTTAACTTCTCTGTGTTTCATTGTCTCTACCTGTTAAAATGATAACAGTACCTACCTCAACATTGTTTTTGGATTAAATGAGATCAAGGCATAAAAAGGTTTTAGTGCTCAATCAGAACTGATGACATCAATTATCATTATCGTGTAGTGGGTTCTTAATAACAGATTACATTATCATTATAATTGTCTCAAAACCATAGTTAGGAAAAATAATAAACAAGCTACAATAAAGCTATTAAAAGATTTCTTTGTGTTTTGCCAAGATAATTAACATACATGTTTCTCAAACTGAGCAAAAGATCAGTATATGTAAAGTATTAGTAACACTAATGTTAAGAGTATCCAGAATTCCTGAAAATGGCTGTAATTTGGGAACTTTTCAGGAATCAAATAAAACTTCACAAACAATATGCTTTATCAACAATATATTTGTTACACCAAAGACTCAGAAGTGTTTCTTACCTTTAAAAACATGTTTATACCTTTTATTTCCATGTAAAGTTAACAGAAGGATTAACAAATAAAGGAGTTTGTTATCACTTAAAGATACTGCTATTATTATCTTCTGGCCTTTATCCTGTCCTATCCTATCCCATACTAGAGACCTCTAAAATGATTTTATTCAAAGAAAATTTAAAAATAAAGAACAAAATCAAAACCAAGTAAATGAGTAGAAAATCCTTGTTTAATTAAATCTGGATAATCATGCTGGACTACAAATAAAGGAATTAACAAAGGTAAGACCTGAAGTAAAGCAAAAAAAAAAAAAAAAAAAAAAAAAAACTAGTAAGAATCTTCCACTTAAAAACTCTGCAATTCTTCAAAGACCTCAGACATCACCAAGATTATCCCCAAATGGAGAGGTCACTAAATATCCATGAACACTCACCCAACCTTTGGTAGGAGACCTCTTGAAGACCCAGATGCTTGAATCAGCTGAAATAGTACCAAGTGTTTTCTGATTACTCTTAATAGGGCAACGGAGCACAGGTTACTCCACACTATCAAAAATTATAGGTCATTATTATTACTGATAATTCTAGCTACTACCATTATAAATTACTCAAGAAAAAGGAGATTGTGTAATGAGTTCTAAGGTGAATGAAACTTACTGTGTGCATGTATGTTAATGTGTACATTTCTTCCCATTCTTAGTGATAGAAGTCTATTACATAATTCTTCTCGTGAGTGTAAATACATTGGCAGAATAAAATTCTCTAAATATGCTATAAAGTTCTTAAAGTATGTAAAAAAATATTTTTAAAGATAGATTTATTTATTTATTTATTCATTCATTCATTCATGAGAGACAGAGAGAGAGAGAGAGAGAGAGAGAGAGAGAGAGAGAGGCAGACACAGGCAGAGAAAGAAGTAGGCTCCATGCTGGGAGCCCGACATGGGACTCGATCCCGGGTCTCCAGGATCACACCCTGGGCCGAAGGCAGCGCTAAACTGCTGAGCCACTTAGGGATCCCTGTAAAAATATTTTTAATATTGATTCAGATAAAAAATTTCTAGGGGTGTCTGGGTAGCTCAGTTGTTTAACCATCTGACTCTTGATTTCGGCTCAGGTCATGATGTCAGGGTTGTGAGATCGAGTTCCCCTACCAGGCTCTCTGCTGAGTGTGGAGCCCATGTAAGATTCTCCTTCTTCCTCTCCCTCTGCCCCTCCCCTGGCTTGCGTGCACACTCTTTCTCTCTTTCAAATAAGTTAATCTCTTTGAAAATTCTGAAAGAACTTTTTTTTTTTAAGAGATTTATTTATTTGAGAGGGAGAAGGAGAGAGAGCAAGAGAGCATAAGTAGGAAAGATGAAGAAGTAGGCTCCCCACCGAGCAGGGAGCCTGATGTGGGGCTCCATCTGAGGACCCTAGGATCATGACCTAAACCGAAGGCAGACATTTAACCAACTGAGCCATCCAGGTGCCCCAGAAGAATGTGGTTTGTTTGTTTGTATTTATTTATTTATTTTTAAATTTTATTTATTTATTCATGAGAGACAGGGAGAGAGAGAGATAGAGAGGCAGAGACACAGGCAGAGGGAGAAGCAGGCTCCATGCAGGGAGCCTGATGTGGGTACTCGATCCCGGGACTCCAGGATCACGCCCTGGTCTGAAGGTGGCGCTAAACCACTGAGCCACCCGGGCTGCCCAAGAACATGTTTTTTAAAGACAAATGCCAATTTCTGAACATTTAGCACTTCAGTAACACACAGGAAAAGATTTTAAGTCCTCTGCACTTAAAAAAAAAGTTCTTAACTTTAGGTTTTTGTTGTTTTTGTTTTTTTATTCTTTGGTTTTAAGTTTTATTAAGAGAGAGAAAGAAGGAGAACACGTGTGTACGTGGAGAGGGGAAGAGAGAGAGGGTAGGAAAAAATCTCAAGCAGACTCCCCACTCTGCATGGAGCCTGACAAGGGGTGCCGTCTCATAACCCTGAGATCCTGACCTTAGTTGAAATCAGGAGTCAGATGCTTCACTGACTGTGCCACCCAGGTGCCCCTTAACTTTAAGCTTTTTAATGTACTAATGATTCTTCTAATCAGAGGAGTCTTATATTTCAACATACAAAAGAACTCATAACACTGACGACTAAACAAAAGCCTCCTTGCTCAAAAGCGAAGACTATTTTCAACATTACTGATTAAAATCTAAAGGTTATCCATTTAATAGAAAAATATCCAATATTAACCTAATTTAAAAGAAGAATACAGCAGCAGGCTCAACACCTAGATGAAATAATGTTTTTCTCGATCTCTGGAAAGTGGGAGGTGGAATGATAACCCCTCCCACCCTGCATTCCCCCTACACCATGACTCATTCCAAGGATCTACATGGTAAAAATTAAGACACTCTATTACTGCAGAAATTACCAAGAACAAAAAATGGAAGGTTCTATATTTTTCTCAAGTAACTAAGATTAAAAAAAAAAAAAAACTGCTTCTCTCTGATACATATGTATCAAGTGAACAAGTGAAACAAGCCTCATTTGGTTTAAATAGTTTAGACAGGAAGCAAAAAAGAACATTTGACATTTAATGTCAAGTAAGCATATTCAAGCTACCAAAGAAACAGTGAAGCCCCAAGCCAGCAAATAAACTCCAACCTGGCTGATAAATGATTTAACTGTTACATTTCTAAAGACAGCTTTGTAGTAATCTACCACTTATTGAACATGAAAGAACTTTTGAAGTTTTGAGAACAGCAACAAAATAAGGAAGACCAGAAGCATAAAAAAAATTTCAGTAGGTGAGGAAAATGTCTGATAAAGTCAAGAAGAGAACTGAGAAAAGGGTGGTGAAAGGAAGACTAGCACTACAGTAATTGAGAATCCTAATGTCCCCAAAACTATGAAGAAAAACTAAGGATAATAAAAAATGGAGTAAAGACTGGCACATAAAAAAAATAATTTGTGTAAGAAAAATACAAACATTCTATATTTCTACTGCTAATTTTAGATGACAAGGTATACCAATATTACCTTTCTTTCGAAAGAGTGCATTTAGGTAATTTTCTGCTTGGCATTCAATCTTTTCAGTGTTGGACTGGCCCTGAGATGATAGTTCCTCCGTTGGTGTTGACTGTGAAGAATCAAGAGACGGTATACAATCCTAAAATTATAAGAAAGAAACATTAAAAAAATCATTTTTATTACACATGTGATTCCATTAAAAATAGCAAGAAAAAATTTTTCTAAATGCTCATTTATTCTATATATCAAATTACACAGGGAGAACATAAAATTTGGGACAGGAGTCAGGAGAAAAGAAATTTAGTTCTGATACCAAATTAATTTTATTTCTTTGCAAAACTGTAGTCAAAAGGGAGGTGGCGACTGTAGATAAAATACATTACTGAATAAATTTACTATAATAAAGCATTCCAGTAATGAGAGTTTAACAACAAAGCAGGTATGTTTACCCTCTAATCTGACCCAAATGGGTACAAGTTCTCAAGTTCTCATTTCTTCTTAGCCTTTTTCACAATAGTAAAGAGAATTAGGACTTCCCAACATACAAGAAGATGCTGCTTGCCTAGTTTATACCCTGTTTATAGTAGACACTAAATATTTAATCATTTACACAGGAAATAACTCTGATATCCAAACGACTTCAAGAGAATAAAAGGCTAAATAGTAGTATCACATTATCCGCCAACTACAGATTCCTAAGAAATCAGATTATAGGGTGGTCTCAAACCAAACCAAGCCTCCACAGCTCACTGTCCTCTACCAAATACAAATCATATCTACACTGAACTTCATGAGTCAGGGAGCTATAAGGAAGAAATGTGAAATAAGCAAAAAAGATGAGTGTTTCGGTGATTTCACTTGGAAGTTAAGCTAAATGTTAGACTTCTAACAAAAGACTTTTAAAAAAATTCTTCTCATTACCAAAATCAAATATTTAAATTTCCACTGTAAGTCACCAATTTTCAGAACAAATTAAGTCAAAAAAATTGTGTTACAATTGTGCAATTAGTTTAGAAATAATTTCATAGCACTAAAACTTACACTGACTGCTTCTCTCTGTAGGTTACAAAATGAACATTTTTCATCCATAGACCAGTCAGTCAGCTCTTCTGGTTCACAGTCTTTAAAAGAGGGAAAAATATTCATTAAATACACTAACTTTATTAATACAAATAAAATTACCACTCTCCACAGCAATGTCTCATATAAAAAGCTAACTACTGATAGTAAGGGGAGAAGGCGTAACTTTAAAATTAAAGTGATGACATCTAGAAAGAAACAAAGAAGGCTGTAAGGAGAGTAATTTTGCACTATTATGGGACAAAGTAGCAAGAACAATGTACTGGTTATAAATTAATTTTCTAACAATAGGGTTTTAAGTATCATCTAACCTTCTAAAAGATTCAATTTATCATTGCCTATTAATTTTTAATTTTCACTGTGAAAGAAATCAAAACAGGAAGGTGTGGGGAAAAATACATTTTACACATCATGAAAGCAACATAAAACAGAGAAAGGGAGTAAAGCATCAGAAAAGTCCACAGATTTGAGAAAATGGAATGTTGTTCAAAAAAAAAGGGGAAATCCATCGCTAAAAAGTCAGATCAGATTTTTATTACATTGTGTAATGGTGTTGTTGCAAGAGCTCAAGTAAAAGGCAGGTAAACAAGCTATATTATTCAATACAAAACATGAATTTTTTCACAAGAATGTTTCATATAATCCAACTATTGTAATATATTAGAAAGTTTGTGCAAAACAAACATTTTATGATGAAGAAATTTTATGAAGATATAACAACACTGCCATCCTAACTATATTTGGTACAGTGATTTTTCAAACTTATTTCTTACAGTAAAACTCCTTTCAATTTCCTTTCCCAAATAAATTCCTATATAGAACCTCCAATATATGAAACAATTATCAACTGATATCAATTATCAAAATTATCAATTTTTCAAACTTATTTCTTACAGTAAAACTCCTTTCAATTTCCTTTCCCAAATAAATTCCTATATAGAACCTCCAATATATGAAACAATATATCAAACAATCATACTGGTACTAATCTGAAAAGCACTGGGGTGACACAGTAATTCTAGCTCATACTTTTGAAATACATAATGAAGTCGAATATAGGTTTCTGTTAAGCTACATAGAAAATAAGCTTACCTTTTGGGAAATAATAAATAAATACCAGTTAGGATCAGCCCCCAAGAAATTCTTGTATCAATCAAGATATACAAGTCAGAATAGAAGATAATGTAATCTGTTGGAGTATAAAGAGTGTAGTGATAGTTCCCTTTGGCTTTAGCAGTGGTCCAGAAATATTCCTAATATTTATCTACACTTAGAAGTGGTAGGAAATGGGAGCATGAGACCTAGTATAGGGTAATGGAAAGATAATTAGATTTTAAGTTTCCTTCTGGAATGAACTTACTTGTAACCTTGTCAAGTTATAGAGTTTTTGTTTTAATTTCTCTATCTGTAAAATAAAGACCCCATCACATAACTTATTTGTGGATCAAATGAAAAAATGTGAAAATATTTTATAAACTACAAAGCACGATGCAAAGGCTAGTTACTAACAAAGGAGGATTACCAGTCATTATTTTTTTAAATCCTGCACAATCACGAACATACTTAATAAGGCTAGTTCGTAAAACAGATAATTTTAATACATCAGTTTAGGAAAATGGATCACTTTCTGCAAACAACCCGATAAATCAAAAAGTTTAAACAATCTATACAATTAAAAACTCAGAATTGTGGTTATATAGGTTTATTATTTTCTTCAACCCTTTGAAGAAAGACCTGTCACTATAACAGAGGAATACATTCATTCTCTTGAATGTGGAACTGTGCCATGTCTCTCACTAGGGAGGCAGAGCTTTCTGATCAGTGGGAACCAATGTGGGAAAACTGATAGTATATATTCCAAGCTGAGGCTTTAAAAGGTATGGCAAGTTTCCCCAGTTCTCTTGAGTTTCCACCATCCAACATGAGAAGAACTTGCCCAAACACACTCACTACTCCTTCGGATTGGAACTTGCAGTCACCAAAAGTGATCCCTGAAGGCCAGTGAATCACATCATCCGTAAGGATGCAACAGATTTAAGAGCTATTTGTTATGCAGTATTACTGTGTGAAAACTTGACTCATATGCTAAGCATAACAATTCTGATAGATTAAGGAAATCTTACTGTTTTTTATTATGGCTTCATGAATAAAAAATATGAAAGATATCTAGCATTAGAATTTTTTTTAAATAGCAGTATTCCTGGAGAAGAGGTATTTTTTTAAGATAAAAAGCTTTATTTATTTATTTATTTATTTATTTATTTATTTATTTATTTATTTAATAAATTAATTTTTATTGGTGTTCAATTTACCAACATACAGAATAACACCCAGTGCTCATCCCGACCAGTGTCCCCCTCAGTGCCCGTCACCCATTCACCCCCACCCCCCGCCCTCCTCCCCCTCCACCACCCCTAGTTCGTTTCCCAGAGTTAGGAGTCTTTATGTTCTGTCTCCCTTTCTGATATTTCCCACACATTTCCTCTCCCTTCCCTTATATTCCCTCTCACTATTATTCATATTCCCCAAATGAATGAGAACATACACTGTTTGTCCTTCTCCGATTGACTTACTTCACTCAGCATAATACCCTCCAGTTCCATCCACGTTGAAGCAAATGGTGGGTATTTGTCGTTTCTAATGGCTGAGGAATATTCCATTGTATACATAAACCACATCTTCTTTATCCATCATCTTTCGATGGGCACCGAGGCTCCTTCCACAGTTTGGCTATTGTGGACATGGCTGCTAGAAACATCGGGGTGCAGGTGTCCGGGTGTTTCATTGCATCTGAATCTTTGGGGTAAATCCCCAACAGTGCAATTGCTGGGTCGTAGGGCAGGTCTATTTTTAACTCTTTGAGGAACCTCCACACAGTTTTCCAGAGCGGCTGCACCAGGTCACATTCCCACCAACAGTGCAGGAGGGTTCCCTTTTCTCCGCATCCTCTCCAACATTTGTGGTTTCCTGCCTTGTTAATTTTCCCCATTCTCACTGGTGTGAGGTGGGATCTCATTGTGGTTTTGATTTGTATTTCCCTGATGGCCAGTGATGCAGAGCATTTTCTCATGTGCATGTTGGCCATGTCTATGTCTTCCTCTGTGAGATTTCATGTCTTTTGCCCATTTCATGATTGGATTGTTTCTTTGCTGTTGAGTTTAATAAGTTCTTTATAGATTTTGGAAACTAGCCCTTTATCTGATATGTTATTTGCAAATCTCTTCTCCCATTCTGTAGGTTGTCTTTGAGTTTTGTTGACTGTATCCTTTGCTGTGCAAAAGCTTCTTATCTTGATGAAGTCCCAATAGTTCATTTCTGCTTTTGTTTCTTTTGCTTTCGTGGATGTGTCTTGCAAGAAGTTACTGTGGCCAAGTTCAAAAAGGGTGTTGCCTGTGTTCTCCTCTAGGATTTTGATGGAATCTTGTCTCACATTTAGATCTTTCATCCATTTTGAGTTTATCTTTGTGTTTGGTGCAAGAGAGTGGTCTAGTTTCATTCTTCTGCATGTGGATGTCCAATTTTCCCAGCACCATTTATTGAAGAGACTGTCTTTCTTCCAGTGGATCGTCTTTCCTCCTTTATCGAATATTAGTTGACCATAAAGTTCAGGGTCCACTTCTGGGTTCTCTATTCTGTTCCATTGATCTATGTGTCTGTTTTTGTGCCAGTACCACACTGTCTTTTTTTTTTTTTTTTTTTTTTAGTACCACACTGTCTTGATGACCACAGCTTTGTAGTACAACCTGAAATCTGGCATTGTGATGCCCCCAGATATGGTTTTCTTTTTTAAAATTCCCCTGGCTATTCGGGGTCTTTTCTGATTCCACACAAATCTTAAAATAATTTGTTCTAAGTCTCTGAAGAAAGTCCATGGTATTTTGATAGGGATTGCATTGAACGTGTACATTGCCCTGGGTAACATTGACATCTTCACAATATTAATTCTGCCAATCCATGAGCATGGAATATTTTTCCATCTCTTTGTGTCTTCCTCAATTTCTTTCAGAAGTGTTCTATAGTTTTTAGGGTATAGATCCTTTACCTCTTTGGTTAGGTTTATTCCTAGGTATCTTATGCTTTTGGGTGCAATTGTAAATGGGATTGACTCCTTAACTTCTCTTTCTTCAGTCTCATTGTTAGTGTATAGAAATGCCATTGATTTCTGGGCATTGATTTTGTATCCTGCCACGCTACCAAATTGCTGTATAGCAGTATTCCTGGAGAAGAGGTATTTTTTGAAAAATCACTGTAAGATTTCATGAAGTTTTAGTGATAAATATGTTGAATCGAGGAACAACTTTGGAATAATTAAGACAATTATCAGTTGTAAGATAAAATTCGGCATGCTGAGCTTATCTCATTTATTTCAGTTATTTTAGAAGTTCTTCAAAGAAATGTTAATTAAAATGAATGCCTATGTAGTTAAGTAAATGGTATCAAATAATCAACAATTATATAAATGCCATTAAATTTTGCTGGGTAAAAAAAAACTACTTTACTTACAAATATTGAATAACTACTCTTTCTACAAAAACTTTTGGTTTTGAGTCCAAATAAATGATGAGATATATTTTTTTTTATTTATTGGAAAACAAAATTTGAAAAATCAACTCTAGGCCAGATTTCTCCAAGTTAATCTTTTCATGTCATAAGAGTTAACAAAGATTTCTCAAACAAAATATGACAATAAATCAGATATCCCTAAAATAAGATGTCTCTCATTTTGAATACATGAAGTTGTATAAACTCAAAATGGTGAAATATCTTACAGAAATAGCCTTATTAATAAAAGGCAATGTCATAACAAAAACTAATAGTAAATGACTAACAAAAGAGCAACCTTTTCACCATGGATATATATTCACAAAGTCTGGTTCCAATCATTTTACCTAATCTACCTTAGAAAGTTAACAGACTTTGAAATTAAAGAGCCTTGGTACTGAGATAGCTTTCCAAATACTAGATGTGGCCTTTGGCAAGTTACTTTCTTTGGGGTTCAATTTCCTTATCTGTTAAAATGAGGATAATGATTGCATCTTAC